GGGGGGGGGAATCGTATTTTGACATACCAGAGACACTGCACAATAGCTTAAAAATTCTTACATGCAACCAGACAGAAAAGGAAGATTACTTTCAAGGGATACCACTATATTCATTAGCAGAGTACACAAAAGGTGTATTACAGTCAGGAGATAATGACATAATGTATTTTCAAGGTACCAGGGAAAAAAGAGCTATACACTTAGAATTTTATACTCTGACCAACTATCCAAAGTTAAAAAACTAAAAGTAAAAGAAAAGCAAAGCAAAAGAAATGATTAACAGCTACCCTACTGAAGTCATCTTGCCTCTATGGAACCCAAGAACAAGAATGCAGCATACAGAGATGAAAGAAAGGAACTGCTGTCCTGGCAACACTTCTGAGACCCCATACGCAGACAACCTGATTTCACCCTTAATTTGGAGAATTTTAGTCTCTTAAAGTAATACATCACCATTAATTCAGAATTTAAACCAAAATGTAATGTAAGTTAAAACATCAGAGTTATCTTAAGCCTGTATACCCACCAAGGGTCTGTCACTGCCTCAGAAAATTATTCAGGAGATGATTTATCTTAAGGGACCTTTGGGAAGGGCTTGAAAATTAAGAGGCAAGAAAACAGGTAATCAGTTAAACACAATTTAAAATAACAAAGGAGAATGAGTTCAAAGGAATCCCAGGCAAACAATCCTCAAGGTGCTCAAAGCAAAATCTTTGATTCAGACTGGGCTTCTGCAATTTACCTCAGGTTAAAAACGATGCCAATTCTTCCCCCCAGTTCAAGAACTTTAACTACTAATAATGTAAGTCTCAATTAATAGATGTTTTGTTTTGTTTTTTTTAATTAGAATTTAGAACAGTGTAGGAGAGGTGACAGGAAATAATGTTCCAGTTTCCTGAGGCTATTTATTGGGTCTCTCCCCTCAACATTCTAAGGAAATTAGAATGAGCAAAATAAATGACCCAATTCAAAACTGTACTGTTTAAAGCAAACTGTTCTTGAGTAACAGAAACTAGCTTTTCATTGCCCCTGAGCTCTTTTACAACTCTCATAAATTATAGATAACTGACAGTAAATCAAAAATCATTGCTGCCTATACACTTGCCAGTAGATTTTGCCCAGTTCAACTGGCACCCCACACGCCATGGGCAAAAATATAACTTTGTCTATTTGCGAATTCATTTCAACATTCCTTTATTCCATATAAATTTGCTCTTCTCTGGATTGTAACATCTGTGTGGTTCCTGATGGCAGTAAAATCCTTAACATGCTCCTTATATTTTTATGAAAATAATTTTACGCTCATGAAAATTATCCCTTAACACCAACAAAAACAATACAATGCAGTATTTCTTAAGAGACCAAACTTCTGAAGTTTTCTTAACTTTGTTGTAAAGATTTTGCTTTAAACCAACTTCTTAATGTCATCAGAAAGTTTCAGATTTAATTAAAATACAATTTGCTTTACCTAGGATGCATAATGAGATTGAATCTTACAAGTTATATTCTGATTAACACACTTAAGAAAATTAGAGTCTAAAAGGAATTCTAACAAATCTGCAACTAACAAGAAACCACTAACTGCTCCTCATTTTTATGTTTTATTGGTCACCTGTTCTTTAGTTACCAGTTAAATGACATTCTCAGCACATTAATTGGCTCAAATATTTTGTCTTTCAGATACATTACCAAAAGGATCACTTTATAAACAATCTTAGAAATTCTCTGAATACTGAAAAAAATCCAAATGTTTGATCTTCACAGTGAGGTTTAAGTGATATTTTTCCAAAAGGTAAATAGGCAAAGAGCCATAATTTTATTTGTACTATGGTATGCATTAGAATTCGCATCTGCCCAAATTACATAGACTTTCCTAAGAACTTTTAAACTTGTAAAGTTTTACTCAAATTCTTAACAGTTATCTCTTTTGTCTTTTATTTCTCCTTGTCACCCTTGAACCTGACCACATTGCTTCTACCACAGGCAAGGAGCATGGAGAAGAGCAAGAGCCCACAGAATACACAAGAGTGATGAGACAGTCTTGTGGTCACTAATGTTTCTGCAACACAATTTCCACTACATCAAAACACCACCCAGAGGTTGTACTGAAGATAAGAAACAGGTTTCATTTCACCTATGGAATTCTTATATACATCTACATTGTAAAGAAATTCATGTTGGAGAGAGATGAAATAAGGAGCAATTTCCTGAAAATGAAAATCCAAATACATATAGATAACTAATCAGAGACTGTCTTTCCCAACTGAGTATTTTGTAACTTCCTGCCCACCCAGATGGCTAGAAAGCCTGCAGTGACTCCTTCCCTTGGTCTACAATCTTTGGAGGAAACTACTGTCTTAGATACTGTAATTCTTACAGTAATACCACTTTAAATATTTAGCACTTTACTATGCAGTTAATATATATATAATTTCCAATTCTAAAAGCAACCTTACAAGTTAGCATCTATATTTTTAGAAGGAAAATGAACTCAAAGAAGTTGAGAAAGTTGAACATATCATACATCTAATAAATAGAAAAACAGAATTGGGCCTAAGTCTGTTCAACTCCACAGCCTATTTCTATTATACTATACCAAGTCTAGGCCATAAATTTTTACTAAGTCTCAAATTTAGACCACCAACTTAAGTTTAGTAACTATTATGCTATTTATAGGATTTCAGCCTATTAGTCTAAAAGAACAAGTATGTCCCAAAGATTACAAGAGGCCTTCTGCTATCCTGTGTTTATTTTGGTGAAATAGAAGTGAGCGCAGCATTTTGTCATCCTAAGATTATTCACTTTAGGGGATGTAAAAATCTTGCCTGGCTGTTTGTGCCAGAAAATAAACCACTTTTGAAGACTGAAAAATCGAGTGAAATGAGCCAGGGTTGTTTGGTTGTTTTTTTTTTTAAGTCATACAACTCCTAGACTTTTACAAGATTTCTTAGGCATTTTTAGGTAAAAGAATGGAACTAAATATGCAGCTAAGGTCCACCCATTCATATCTGTACTCTAACGACTTTATTACATTCTTCTCCAAATAGCTCATATTATATTATGATAAACAACTACATAACAAAAGAAATTCCAGAACAGTCTCAAAATCTATAATAATATAAACTTCCTAAAACAAATTAGCATAATGTCTTAGGTAATCTTGCCCATTTTAACTAACTTGACATTTGAATATTATTCCATCAAAATCTAGCAAATCAATTGTGTGTTATAGTGTTTGCCCCTTTTATCCATTCTCAAAAGTATTCAAATACTTACCCCATGTTCCTGAGCAGCGGTGACAACTTTGAGGAGGACATCTTCCTCAACAAATGGTCTCACAGCATCGTGGATGATCACTACTTCTGGCTTTGAGAGTCTACAGTTGGGCTGATCCTCTGCCAGTACTTTCAGACCATTAAAAATTGACCTGTGGCGGGTCACTCCAGCTTCAACCAGTGAGATGCGTTTATGCTGGTACCTCTGAATAATTCCCTTCATTGTTTCCATGTTCTCTCTAGTTACTGCCACAACAATGTCCTTTATCCAAGATACTCTGCAAGGAAAGGATGCACACTTTTCCTATCAGTTGATTCTTAAACAACTGAGTTAGTAACAAAGCTGGGTTACCAAAAAGTACAAATACATGTTCATAAGGACATTAAAAATTCAAAGTTATTAACTAAGTCAACTTTATGCATTTTAATCAGGTCTAGTAAAGGGGTTAAGAATTTGAATTTTTCATACTGTAGATAGAAACACATAAATATAAGTAGTGTTTTTCAATACATAGTGTGAAAGTACCTTTGTGATGAAACACAGATGTTCCTTTATGGTAAAACAAAGATAAGATATACATATCATGCATTTCTTAGGGTAAAATTGAATAATTAGAATATACATCAGTAGATTGAAAGAAAAAAATGTAAGACTATGCTTTTAGGTTGCTCTTCTTCCTCCAAATAATTCTCTTCTTTGCATAGGAACAATTCAAAGCACTTTTGGCTTTTAGAAGTTCTGCCTCTTTCAGAAGTCCATCGAGTCAGCAACAAAGTTGGATTACTGAACTAAACTTGGCTTACATCAAGGTGAAATATTTTAGCTTAAATAGGGAAACTCAGCTAATTAAATTTGTGTAAGTATAAATCAGGCTTAAATAAAACAGAAAACATATATTAAGGAAACATAAAATTAAAGGAATTCATCTGTTGAGTTAGATACAAAACAGACCAATTTTTTTCTGTTCTACAACACTTTCTTCAAGACAGAGTGACACACAGATGCTATCTGTCCATGGCGTTGAGAGGCCGTGGCTGCAGTGGGGCTGCAGACTTCTCTGGAACACCAGGGCTAACAGAGGCAAACATCATCACACACTCAGAGTTCCACAGCGGACAGGCCCAAGCCAGGAAAACTGCCTCTGGCCCATGTTATCAACTATGATTAAGGGTCACTTTAAAATTTAAAGGCATTCTTTGCCTGTGAGATCCTACACGTTCATGCTAGACAGTTAAGTCTTATACTCACTTTTAAAGAGACGGAAGAAGGGTCTCAAAATGACTGAATAATGAAATTAACTATTGAACAATGAAAAATGCTGGATGGCTTTGCTCAATAATTAACCATCTCCTGCCTTCTGCTCGTGAACAAACCCATCCTGAAACCCAGCACCCCCTTCTGCCTGTGGCTACAACACTGCACTGACGAACACAACCAAAACTTTACAGGCACACTACCCTTTCATTTTAAGTCCATCCCCCTAACAAATATTTGTTGAGCACTGAATAAATGATCAGCCTTGAGTACACAATGGAAATAGTTACTGCTTTCACAGGGCTTATAGAGGACATAAAGAATACCAACAACTGCTAAGCTGCCGTCAAGCGCTGTCAAGGGGAGCTCCAGACTTCAAGACCGCATGCACTTCCTTTTTGACCAGCATAGAGAAGCCCAGGATGATACTCCCTAAGGAAGCAGAGTTTTCTCCTCAAGTGGACAGAGGCAGGAAAACAGACAAAAGGATTTGAGAGCAGAATGAGAGGGATGGTTTAAGCACAGGCCAAGGCAAGGTCCTGAGGAGCTAAGAGGAAATACCCATGAAAATGTCCAGGCAAATGATGGGCTGGCCTACTCCACGGAGTCCTCCAAGGCCATTTGAGGGGTGTTGGTCTTCAATCTTAAAAAGTGATAGGGTGACCTCCCTGGAGGTCCAGTGGTTAAGGTTCCACCTTCCAATGCAGAGGGTGCAGGTTCGATCCCTGCTTAGGGAACTATGATCCCACATGCCTTGCGGACAAAAAAACCAAAACATGAAACAGAAGCAATGTTGTAACAAAGTCAATAGAGGACTTGAAAAAGATGGTCCACATGAAAAAATCTTTAAAAAAAAAAAAAAAGTAACGGGAATGCATAGAAAAGCTTTATGCAGGACATTTATACCCAAATTAATAGTCACTCCCCCCAGTGTTCTAAGCACTGTTCAATGACAAAATGGAAATTGTGGTAGTCAAAATAATAACCCCCGAATGACATCTATCACCTAACTCCCAAAACCGAGAATATGTAACATTACCTAACAAAGGAACTTTGCATATATAAGTTAAGGATCCTGAATTGTAGAGTCCATCAGGGCTGTTTGGGTGGGTCCAATAAAACCACAAGAACGGAACAGGGAAAGAAAGGCAAAGGGCTGAGGGACAAAGCGTGAGAAGAGAAGGATCGGTCATTCTGACACAGGAGCATAGGTCCCACCGGGGCCTCCCTGGGGCTCAGTGGTAAAGAATCCACCTGCCAATGCAGGAGACGCCGGTTCCATCCCTGGAGCAGGGAATGACAACCCACTCCAGTATTCTTGCCTGGAGAATCCTTTGGACAGAGGTGCCTAGCGGGCTACAGTCCATGGGGTCACAAAGAGTCAGACACTACTTAGCAGCTAGGCAAAAAAAAAAGCCCCAGAATCTGAGAGAGCAAATGGACTGGCCACCTGGCAAGTGAACAGACTGCACCTAGAAGACTCCAAAACAGAGCATAGCGCTGCTAATACCTTTATTCTAGCCTTATGAAACCAATTTTTTGACCTGTGACATCCAAAAGGTTAAGAATGTATTTAATACTATTTTAAGCCATTTAGTTCATGGAAATGTTTATAGGAGCAACAGCAGCTACTAATTTAAGAACATAAACTTTACTCTGGCTGCAAGATGGAGAATAGATTCGGTAGACAAAGGATGCAGATAGACTAGATTGAAGTCTATCTGAATAGAGGCTGCTGCTGAAGCCTGGCTATCAGATAGAGCTTGTGAATGACAGATAGTAATAGTAATCTTCCTGATTTAGTGGTAACAACCCTCCTGAGTCAGTAAGAAAGATGGGCAAAATAAACCATTTATCATGTAACATGAAATGGCTAACATCAATTAACTTACCAAGTCTTAAGCATTAGTCATCTTTTAACTCACATAATCCTCACACTGTCTCACATGGGAAAGAAACATCAGAAGGAGCTGATATACAAATATCTTTATTTTCCTATACTGCCATCTGATGCCAAAAACAACTTGAAAAAAAATTTTTACCACTTTTCATCAAAATACAGCATTCTATCTTCTAGAATGTAGGCTCCATGACAGCAAGAACAATGTGAGTTTTGTCCATTGCTTTGCACCTAGAAGGCACTTGCTAATTATTTGGTACTCAATAAACAATTTTGGTCTGACACATCTACCAGGATCTTACAATAAAGCACAGTTCCAAGGATTATAAAACACAGAAAGCTCTCCTCATCAAGCTGAAGAGAGAATGAAAAGCAATGAAAGTGCCTTTCCTGGGCAATGTCGCTTTTTGCTCATTTTGATGAATGTGACTCTTTATTCTGATTTCTAGATTCCAAGGGCTCTAAGGGGCTTCCCTGGTAGATCAGATGGTAAAGAATCTGCCTGCAATGCAAGAGACCTGGGTTCCATCCCTGGGTTGGGAAGATCCCTTGGAGGAGGGCATGGCAACCCACTCCAGTATTTTTGCCTGGGAAATCCCATGGACAGAGGAGCCTGGCAGGTTACAGTCTATGGGGTCACAGAGTCGGACACAGCTGAGCAACTAACACTGTCACATACCATCACTGTCAAAGCTCCAAGGATGGCTGGGACTACCAATGATTTGTCAGGCATCTTGTGGAAATTGTAATCACAAACAAAGCAAAGCAACAACAGCCACAGAATACAGACCAGAAAATATGCAGTTATCTGTGTAGGCAATAAGGAGGATTGTGGAAGATGACTAATTATGAGTTGAGTTTATCTAGGCTTTGCCAGTGGCTCAGCAGTAAACAATCCACCTGCAATGCAGGAGCTGCAGGAGACTTGGGTTTGATCCCTGGGTCGGAAAGATCCCCTGGAGGAGGACATGGCAACCCACTCCAGTATTCTTGTCCGGAGAATTCCATAGACAGAGGAGACTGGCGGACTATGGTCTGTAAGGTCAGAGAGTCAGACATGACTGAAGCAACTTAGCAAGCACACAAGCATGGGTTGCTCTTTGTCTTGTAATCCATCTATCCCCAAACCTATCGCTGCAAACTCAGCAACTGTCAGAACTGCCATCCTACTTACATGGTTTAACTCTTACACTGTTGACTTCCCTGGTGGTGCAGCGGATAAGAATCTGCCTTGCAATGCACGGGACACAGTCAGTCCCTGGTCTGGGAAGATTCCATACGCCACAAGGAGACGAAGCCCAAGCACCACAACTACTGCGCCCGTGTGCCCTAGAGCCTGTGCTCTGCGAGGAGAAGCACGGCAGTGAGAACCCAGCTCACTGCAATAAAGACTAGCCCCCGCTCGCCACAACTAGAGAAAGCCCGCGAGGCAGCAAAGACCCAGAACAGTCAAAAGTGAACAAACACGTTTTGGGGTTGTATTTTTTTAAAGTTTTCCTGTGCTTAACCAAGTCCTTAGCAAGTTGACAGTTCCTCAGTGTCCCCTAGATGTGGGTTTGTCTCCACCAGCATTAGATGTGACCCAGGCAGCCCTCTTTACCATCATTTTTGCCCTAGCCTCCTCATTGGTCTCCTCCTCCTCATCCAATCCCAACAAAACCCACTCCTGGCACTTCAGGAAGACTTCTCAAGTGTAAACCTGAGGCCGTCCCCTGCTGGCTCTTGAGTAGGACTCATCAAGACGTAATCTCAGCCTGCTTCTCCCCACACCACTTAATCCCAGCCATGACCCTCCTCCTCTGACCGCCCTGTTCTCTCACATCCAGGTCTTTGCTGTGCTGCGCCCTCTGCCTCTTAACATTATCCCCCATCCTCATCATTCCTCCACGCCCAGCTGAGTCCTACTGTTCTTCAGCTTTCAGTTCAGACATGGCCCCCTCCAGAATGCTTTTCTGGACTGCCCTTCTGGGTGCGGCATCCCCACTCTCAGGTCCTAGAGTGCTCTTATCACGAGGGAGTCTTATCAAGCGTTATACTGTTTCATTTTCATCTCCTTCATTAAGCTGCCAACTCAGAGAGAGCAAAGGCGATACCCCAGAGTGTGGCTCATACTAAGCTTTCAG